AGACTCATGCATCGCATATCAGACCGCCCTGTGGCCAGGACTAGATAGAACACAACCTCACCTTACATGTCAAAAGACTCTGCGTGAGCAATCTACCCACGCACGAGCGCTAGCGGCACAATTCTTGTATGGGGGTGCAGCTGAGACAAGACAGACAGGACACGGTTTTATACTGATAGGCCAATCTAAAAAAGGTCAGCCTGCGACACCTATCATAAGACCGCTTGCTGGAAAATACGGGTTCGTGCTAAACCCGAGAATAACTATACGAAAAGCAGCGAAGGGTCCCTGTACCGAGGTGATTCGGTGTAAACCCAAAAAAACCTGGGCTGCAACCTTAGAACTGCCACACTTTACTGCGCGTTGCTGTGGCAGCTCACACGACCCACTTGTTTCTTTTCTTCCGCATGCCCCTTGCTCCCTCACTTCCATCTGCACGGCTATACGACACGATGGTGGCACACTAACGTCTGAAGGTCACAGCCACTAGATACTTTGAGGACGCCTGATACAGGCTATCAGCCACATACCAGGGTGCCAAGTGTGCGCCCTACTAGGTCGCTACAGCGACACCTTTATTTCGCAGTTCAGATTGACCAGTCGCACGATATGATATCCAAGCAAGCCTCACTAGTCAAAAGGCTTGTCGCACCTCCTTTTCATTCTCCGCAGTCGGCATAAATGACCCCTTATACTGTGGGTGGGAGGGGGGCGGATATGGTGGGTTGGGCGGACATGCTTAAGCACGCCACTTCAGTTACTTGCTGCTCGGCGTAGCTCTTTGCATTTTTTGCGGTTCTTTACCACCCGAGGAGGCACTACTTTTGGATAAAACGGGGAGGGGCATGCGTAAGTACAAGGGGTGCTTGGTGACTAAGGTCAGCGCCTACCTCGAAGACCTGGCGGGAACCTGCTCTTCACACTACTCTTATCTTCGCCTCTTTGTATTTCATTTTCCGCGGCGCCCGCCAGGTACCTCTTTGACCCGAGTCGCACCTCATTGGTGTTCCATGCTGCACTTCATGAACGCAACAGGCTCGCTCCTAATGTGGGCACCCGCATAGGGGGTCAAACCCGCCTCGTCGTCGGCGCACCGAGTCGGGTGTTGGGGCGCCGTCGGCGCGCTGTTGTTTTCCGCGGCGGGAATCGATTTTGGGCCGTCGTCGGGGGGTGGGGGGCAGCACTTTTTGAAAAATACACAGTAGGGATGTGCAGGAGTTGGAGTATGAGGGAAGGAGGTCCAGGGAGGAGGGGAAGGAGTGGAAGGAGCAGGGAGGGGGATGAGGAGGACGAGGGGGAGGAGGAGGGATAGGAGCAGGAGGAATAGGAGTAGGACTAGGAGGAGGAGGACGAGGAGGAGGAGGAGGAACAGGAGGAGGATGAGGGGGGGGAGGAGTAAAGTAGGAGGGAGAGAGGGAGGAGGGAGGGAGGGAGGGAGGGAGGGAGAGGAGAGGAGGAAGAGGAGGAACTGGATGGGAGATGAGGAGATGGAGGTGGATAAGGAGGGAGAGTTCGAAAGGGAGCCTTTTACAATGCTAGGGCACACGCCGTATGGGTATCAGTGCGTGCCGCGTGGACGCGGCGAGAGAAAGTAAGCAGCGTCAGTGCCAGGAAGAGAACAACTGCAGAAACAAATACTTTCGGAGGTCCGCGCGGACTTCTTGGATCGGCGCTGGCCCCCGTGGCGGCACCTCCGGCGCCGCCCGTGTCGCGCTTGGGGGACCAGCGCAGATCCGAGAAATCCGCGCGGAGCCCCATCAGTTCATGCTTATGCCGTTTCCAATTCTTCTTCGGGCTGAAGCAGAGCTGGCCAAGAACGCTGTGGTCCCCTTCGGGCCAGCGGGAAACTGTCCGGCCGCTTGGAGGCCGAAACGCTCATGCTGCCGCGCGCGCCTGCACGAGGTCTGCATCTGGCAGGAGAGAGATAACCTCCCCCTATCCTTCTCTCGAAGACAGGCGGCAGCGGCTGCCCGGAGCCAAGACACGTGAAACAACAAGCAGCCGCCGCGAATCGCCCAATGCCCTCGCCTGTGGGCCGGGCCAGTAAGGACCCTGGTCGCGGTCTCGGGGGCGGGGGCCATCCGCAGACGACGGCGGGCCTCCTGCCCCCCGCTGTGTCCAACTCCTCCTCATCCTCCTCCTCCTCCTCCTCCTCCTCCTCCTCCTCCTCGTTCTTCTTCTCCTCCTCCTCCTCCTCCTCCTCCTCCTCCTCCTCCTCCTCGTTCTTCCTCCTCTCCTCATTCTTCTTCCTCCTCCTCCTCCTCCTCCTCCTCCTCCTCCTCCTCCTCGTTCTTCCTCCTCCTCCTCATTCTTCCTCCTCCTCCTCCTCCTCCTCCTCTTCCGCCCTCCGACCTCCCCTCCGCCCCCTCCCCCTCCTCCGCCCGTGGAGCTCACCAGGGGCGGTGCGCCAACGGGTTGCAGCCAGCCGTGCACGGGCCAGGGAGCGTCGCAGGCTGCCAGGAGGGTGGCCCCACGGACGTTGCAGCCCGATTTCGGTATC